TCAAAGTTCACAAACAATTCGATATTTTCATTCTTGCGACTACAGTGCTGGTTTGTTTTTTTTCAATTTTCTAGAATTAATCAGAAAGTTCAAAACATATCGCTAATTTTATTCAGAGAAGTCCTGTAATATATTATTATAAATGGCTATCAAATGTTGAAAGAATTTCGCAAAAATCTTTTATGAAAAATTTTGCTGTAATATATTGTAGAGAACATATATTTTTTGGGATGATTTATAAGAACGGAAGTTTACATGGAAAAAATTTTAAATTTCGACAATTTGAACGTTTTGAAAAAATGGCCATTGCAAATCATAGTTGCCTTTTAAGGAACGTAAGCTGGGTGGTCAAGCTGTATAATACTGAACTGAAGTCACGAGGGTTCAATTTTAATGTTTTGACTTAAATTTGACATATGAGTGGTGTAGGTAAACTCGCTCATATCTTCTGTCTCCTAATGACTCTCCGGCAAATTGACTTTGTACTTGGCGACAGTGGAACCAGAAATGCTGGTAGAAAAAGGACGAATTTATCATTAATTCATCTGGTTTATCATTTATTTATTTTCATTTGGGTCAGAATTAAAAGATTATTGACCGATATTTTGAAGTTTCTTAATTTAATTAGCACTTGTGAGTTTTTCCAATAATTTTTTTTCTAGGAGGTGGGAGAGAGGAGAAAATCTTCGCAGTGATTTATCGACCAAGAATCATATTAAAAAATTGTTGTCAGGTCATAAATTTTAGGCTTTTTTTATGAGTAAGCTTTGAATAACATAAGATCGTCGATTACTTTCCATTTGGTCTGGAAGAAAGAAAAAACGTGGATTGTTATGTACTCAATTTGATGGCAATAAATTAATCAAGTAGGATTTTTCTTTTCTTTTTTTCTTCTAATTCTTTAGGCTGAAGAATAGGTGAAAGATTTCGTCGTTTTTTTTTGGAAATTTTGAAAGTTAAGGAAAAATTAAAATTTTCTACCTTCTAAACAATTTTTTACTTGTATGTAGAATTCAGTGATTGCTCTTATACATCTTTTTAGAGAATTATAATTAGCGTCACGAGATTTTGGATTTGTGATTTAGTCAATGCTTCACCATTTTCAATTTCATTCACTCCACTACACTAGGATAGGTGAGTGGAAATCAGTTCAGGATTGTCCTGTTGAGAGGTAAAGATTCGGCTCCTGCTATCCATAAAAAATCATTAAAAAAATTCCAGATAGTACCGACAGTCCATTTGTATTTTTACCGTCAACAAACTCCTTAACAAAAATTTCTGACCATACTAACAGTTAGAGAATCAAACATAATTAAAAAATAAGCACTAATTATTTATTTATTTATTGACTAACTAAATGAAAACCCTTCACCAGATAATTATTTGAAGACAGAAGTCCTCGCCAGTACCCCAGTTATCTTTAATGACTTTGACTTTGCTCTTCTAATACCAGTGGAATTTCCCACTGATGGGTTGTTTGCTCATGCCAAAGATAAGGGTCGAATGATTTAAGCAAAACATCATTTTCTTAAATTGTTCTAATTGTCAGCCGGCTTTTCCACTCAATTCGATTCATCAAAAGCATAGCAAATAAGTTTGAATTCTTTTGACTGGATGGAAAAAGCTAGCAGATAGCTTTTTTTTTCTGGATCTAATTATTGACTAATAGCTGTCAGCGGAAAAATGGATCAAATTTGAGACTTAGAGGTGTGTCTAGCAACCGAAACTATGTGTGGTCTAATCCTCAAACGGCATTTATCGGTAACCATGGGTGGTCTTTCTCTCGAAAAAGCGATTATTCTTCTTTGGTTATTTCCGAAACATCCACATTCAAAAAGTAAGGATTATGAGCTCGAACTCATTCAACATAGTAAGCGAAGAAATTTAGCAGTCTTCTTATTCTAAGAATTTCCTTTCTCGCTCTCTCCTTAAGTAAAGGAAATGCAAAAATGATTAACGCACTAGCTAGTCTCGCTGGCTCATAGTACGGTTGGAAATTTTTATTAGTGGGTTCTGCTATATAAATAGAAATGGTTCACCAGCACCACCTAGCTCTTTCCTTCATCCACTGCTTTGACTGATTTTGAAGAGGCAAACTTGGATTTCTACTTTCAGCTTTTCTTTAATATATCAGAATCGTTAAAATTCTTTTATTAAGTTTACTGTCAAAAGATCAATGCGAAGAGGAAGATAGACCTCAAAATGTAGAAAAGCATAATTTCAATGTGTTGATTTGTAAAATCTACGCTTATTTACTTCGGAAGTGGTTCTAACTTTTCATAGAACATAGTTTCAAATAATCACGGACTGCAGTTATTATAAGAACTAAAGATAAACGGTATATGTATGTTTAGGCATTTATATTTTGCTAGCTCCAGTTTTTACTATCATATTCACTTTTCTCATCAACTGATACTCTACAACGTACAGTGAGAAGAACATTGTTTAAGAAACTATTTTGAGGGAAAAGTAGAATGAAGTTCCATAATAAGAAAAGAGCTTCTTCTTTTAAAGTGCCTTTGAAAGAGCTTTTTTCTAAATAAGCTATTTCTCAATGATTTCAAAAAACCTCGCACCAGAAATATTAACTTGATGGCAGTAACATGATGGCTGATTATAAAAAAGATGTAGTAGATCTTTTCATGGAAATATAAATAGGAATATTTTATTTCTCAATAAAAAGTTGGTAATAAAGTGGTCTCTTATGAATATAGCTGGCATAGCATTTTGATTTATGTCCGAATGCTTTGAATGCTATGAAAGAAATCTTTTCATTCGATTAGTTCATTTAAAGTTCTGTATTACTGTAATTACTAAGAACACTTATATTTACTGACTCCCTTAAAAATGATAATTTACTCCTAAGTGCAGGTATTAAATGATCGAAATATAATGAAAATAAAAATCAACCGACAATTTATTAGTATTTGCAATTTGAAATATTTTTTAGCTAATGATATAATTTTCTTATTATTAAGATAAAAGATATTAATTTGAAAAAACGTGAATAGAAAATGTAGAAAAAAAAGGGAAAATCAATTGCAACAGTTGTTTTTCTGAGATGAAAAAGAAAGTACTATAGAGAGTAGTGAAGCAATCATGATACTTCATTAGATAAATTAACTGTATTGGTTTAATTCTTAATTCTTATCTAGTAGCAATTATTTTTCTAGCAAACAGGTTCTTTGTCAAACCATATATAAATTATATTTCCCATTTCCCTATATAAATATAAGCACAAAAACATTATTCCCTAAGGCATCTGCCGAGAGAAATTCCACCTAGTCGGTCTCCAGATGGTTAATGTATGGACTGCTGCTCAGGATGATTTTTCAGATACATAGAAAGATTTTCAAATCTTATAATTGGTTACTTTATGGTCCTAAAATTTATTATAGTTTTTAGTGATACAAATGATTACAGTGTTTAATTTATTCTCAATTAAATCAATATTAATCAATTATAAAAGATTGAATTAGATAGATAATGAATATCCAGTTATCGAAATTATATAGCACAATATAGATTCTTTTAGTTATCTTTTTATTATCGAAATAAGCGGTTAGCTGCCATCATTTCTGCTTCGCTGGTTTTTAGTGCGGTGAAAAATTTTCGACATAGAATCACTTAATGAGGAAACTATAGGTAGGAATTTTGATAGATTCACTTCTTCAGTTTTTTGCCGGAGGAGGTTGGAGCCGAACGTCGATTCTTCGAGGAGATAACAAAGAACAAGGAGAAAATATAAATTATTCTCAATTATCTCTCTCTGTATTTTGAGCAGCATCACCTCCACATTATTATGATAAAAAAAATTTTAAAAAAATTTATTAAAAGATTGGATTTTTTCTCATCTTTTAAATGAATCTTTGAAAAATTTAAAAGCAACATAATGATTAAGTTTATTTATGGAAATTAACTTCTATTTTTTCATTATTATAATTATGACCATCATTTATTGTAGTTCTCATTAGTTCGGCTTCTAATATTTCCGTATATTTTTATATTCCATGCGCACATCTTTTAAAATTTAATATTTTCAAATAATCAAAAAAAGCTTCACCATCCGAATATTCGCTTCACCATCCGAATATTCGATAATAGATTTAGATAATTAATTATAATTTTAGTAAAAAAATTATAGCCTTCTGATTTTGTTGCCTTCGTCATTAATGTATCTATTGCATATCTAATTGACGGTACTTTGTATAATCGCATTAACATCAAACATTTATAATTTTTAGTAGCCTTGAGTAGTTCAAATATAATTCGTAACATATAATTCGATGAGTCACACCAAACTCCTTACTTTTCAAAATTGTTTAGTATATCCCACAGATATCGTAAATTTTTCTTTATACGTTTATCATGAATCGGAAAGTAAAGAGTTTTGCTTATCGAACTGTTTTCCACATAAGCAGAAAGGTTATTGTCGCTCTTTCAGAAGAATTTTAAATTGTATGGTTTCATGAAAATCAAATGAGTATAATTCAAAATATTAATTCAAAAATTCTGAATATTAATTCAAAATTATAATCTATCAAGATAACAAATTTTAACAAAAATTGTAATACAATTAAAATTAAATAGAAATAAAATAGAGATAAGAAATAAAGTAACAATATTTCTGGATAAAACTGTTTCGCTTAGTAGAAGGCGATTTAATCACTCAATATTTCTGATTAGGCTAGCTCCGCTGGATATTAGTTAACTAATTTTTTAATGGTAGGTCTATCGTTGGCAGCAAGAGCTGAATCTTACCATGAATACTTCAGTCATTAGCCCTTAGCCTATTCCACCCACATTTTTGGAGTGTTCCTTTAACTTTTTGCTAGGTGTTTTTTCTATTTCACGGTATTTTCTTATTTTGCTAATGCATTACATTTTTGACACATATTCATTCGAATTTCGTTTCATTCGCTTTTTTTCGCTAGTTCAGTTTTTTTTCAATGATAATTATGAATTCTAAGGTTTTTCGCAAAACTTACATTATCATATAAATGTTCGGAATGGATCAAAATAATAGTAATGCTTCGAATTCGACAGAACAAACCGATTTTTGTGTCGTTTGTGGCGATAAAGCTATAGGGAAGCACTATGGTGCAGTTGCATGTAATGGATGTAAAGGATTTTTTAGAAGAAGGTATTTATTATCTCATTCGTATCGCAAGAGCTATCTGAATGAGATATTATGACATAAAAAAAATACCATACGAAATGAATTAGAGCAAAAAATAAAATAAATATTAAATTCTGGTGAATACTGGGAAAAAAGGCGACCTGGATGAGGAAGCCTTATCTAATACTTTATTTGTAGCCCTTGTTTAAGGTTTAAAGTATTGCACTAATTTCTTGATAACATAAGAAGTATAAATTTCCTATAGAAAATATTCCTGTTAATTCTGTAGAAACAATTTAACTTAGATGGTTGCGATAGCAAAGGCTTGCTTCGATTGTTCATAGATTTATATGAATTATATAAATTTTAAAAAATTATCAAATTTGCTAAATTTTAAAGTAAATTTGATAAATTTTTCTTAATATGGATCAAAATTTCCTTTTTTTCCATTACTTCTAAGCCTCAGATTAATAATGAAAGAAAGAAAAATCAGTGATGATGTAAAGGATTTTTGAAGGATAGAATGGATGTAAAGGATTTTTTTAGAAGAAGGTATTTATTATCTCATTCGTATCGCAAGAGCTATCTGGAGAACTTTTAGCACTTTCTAGCACTCGCACCATCTAGCACCATTAGTGATTAGGTTGGCTTCTAGCACTCGCACCATTAGTGATTAGGCTGGCTTCGCTGACTACATCGTAAAACATTTCCAAGCCGCTCGATCCGATGCGATACTTGAGATTAAAAGAAGTCATAGCTTTTACTACCGTCTAATGCGATACGGTTGGGCCATCTATATATTCAAAATTTCTTTTGATCCAGTCTCGATCTTAGTTAATTCTCTTTGTCATCCATTACAAGGTTTAGCAAATTGAAAAATATCCATTTCTGACATGGGAAGCGAAAAACATAGCCTAACCACCCTCTGGCAACATTCTGTAACGATATTTCGAATGCGGGTGGTATTCCAGCGAAGATGGATACAAATGAGATTTTATTTGCTTGGCAAACCTTGGTAAAATGCATCTTAGACATGAATGGTCAAAAGTAGATTGCTTCTTAATATCTTCCACTCTAATTCGCAACTATGCAACAGAACTGTAGTAAGATGGATGGGAACCTTCGTTTTGGCGGTAATCTCGTTCGATTCCACAGTGGTTTTCGCTAGACGAAAGGATGCGTTTGTAGCTGCGATTACAGTTTTATCTTTCGCTTGTCGATAAGGGTAGATCTAATACATATAATTTCTACCACTTTCTCAACTCGTGATTATGATAAAAATAGGCATTTGATCAGTGTATATATATTATGAATAAGTAACAAAAATAATTTGAAAGATCTTATTTAAATCGAAATTTCTTTTTGCATTTATCGATACACTATTTAGCTTCTCTTGAATTTCTTTATAACCATCGGTAAAAAAAGATCAGCAAATTCAAGGACAGTTCTCTGGACTGATTTGTACAACTCTTGAATATCGAAAAACAATATCCATTATCCAGTCTATCACATGGCATTGCATATTGTAGAGGAAAAGACGCAGCCCTGATGGACATTAGTTCTTCTTTCGAAAGGATTTGTCATTTCCCCACACATATAGATCTGGGTCAACGTACGCTGAAAGAATGTTCTTATAAGTCGAAAAGTTTTCTCTAAAAATACTATGTACTTCACCAACCTCCAGATCGCTGGTATCAAAGGTAATAGGTAATAGATAATAATAGATAATATAAAATCAATAAAGAAAATGATGGTAAATCGCCAGTATTTAAAAGATGTTCCAAAGATATTTCTTTCTTAGCGATTAATTAGTAACTGTGGCTTGAATTCAGCTTGTTATGGTACTCCATGTCTTATAAAAGGAAAGAAAAAATTTTTCAAGAGATATCTAATAAGCTAATTCCTTACTTCCCTAATTCTTTCTTGGAAATTTGGAGGAGCTGATCCTTTGCTCCAGTTATCTGATATTTTTTTCCTCCATATCAGAAATTACATCCGTTAAAAGTAAGTTATGAATTGATTAATATTTGAAGACTTTGGCTCCAAGATTTTCGAGGAGTTTTATGCCCTAAACTTCTGAATGACAGAGATTATTTCTGATGGCTGCTCAATTATGGCTCAATAAGTGTTTCAGATGACAAATGACAGATGGCATATCGCAATTAAATTTTCCTCTACCGAACAAGCTGGTATTTGAAGGCCATTTTTGACGGCTTTAACAGCCACACTATCATTTCATCATATTCAATTATAAGCTTTCTATGGCCTTGCTCATCGTTGCATACCTTCGAAGAGACCGAAAGAAGAAAGGATGTATACGCGAACTCTTATAACCTTTTGGACATTTGGACTATTGATACTCAACTAGTAGATTTGGCATATCCTAACGTGAATTCAATTGACCTTGAAGGATGCCTTTAGTTGGGACAATTCATTCATCAGCCACTCTAGAAGTATTATCGACATTTATATCATTGAAGCGTTTGGTCTGAAAAAATTGCTCCCAAGTATTTTAGCTGGAAACAATTTTTGGGGATGCTGTTCCCTGAGGATTGCAGTTTTATACGAATCTTGGCTCGAATTATAGTTGGATCCATAAAAGTTGTCAGTTTTAGCGCCATAAGGGGTTATCTAGTGCGGAATTCTTCCAACAACATTAGCACTGATAATCAGTTCCATATGAGTAGATGCTCAAAGTATATATTAGTGGCAAAAAGTCCATGCCTTCAGCAAAGCGAAGAGAAAGCGCTGCCCATCCGCACATCGACCTCCCATGTTATATTTTATTTTCCACAGAATCCATCTTGGCAAAATCTTCCGCAATTATGATCATGTTAACCTTTGGAAGAGATGTTGTTAGCAGCATCGCATAAAATAAAATAAATCATTGTCTGCACATAATATAGGGCCAATGTTTTACAAAACTTTCTTTGAATCGTTTCCACGCAGTCAGAGTGGATCGAGCTCTTTCAGATATGATAATCGTTATTTCGTCCTGAATTATTCGAAGCATCCCAGTGACAGTTCCTCTGTTCTGAGTTAGGTATAATAATTGCATCGAATTGAAGAAAATGAAATTTCGACAAGAAGGCGATGACAATATTGCGGCAAATTTTGGATGGTTATATCATGAGGGTTTCAGGGTAAGACCTTGCCGCAAGACAGTTGTCTTCATTAAAAAATCTCAAGCATTTATTCATATTGGCTAGAGAGCTATTCTCAAACATAGGAATTGTTTACCAGACCAGGTTTACATGGTTCAGGTACCATAAGTTTAAAAATATTACGTGCGGACGCCGTATCATACTCTTTTACCACAGTAATTTGGTGGGACATAGGGTGGACCTTCGCAAGCCCAGATTTTAAGTTTTCTATAGAGAGAAGCCAATTTCATGATTGCGGCGTTTATGAAATTCAATGGATAATAAGATGTTATACTACTATTATTACTTATTACTGTTACTACTATTGATAAAACGGCTCCGTCAAATTTGTTTTAGTAAGGTTCCTAAATTTTTTTATGGTTTCAAATTATTGTTTTCCTATATCCTATTTCTAGAAAGTTTCATTTTTTTTTCAGCGTTTGGCAAAATTTGCAGTATACATGTCGTTTTAGTAGACAATGTAACATTGATAAAGATCACCGCAACGCTTGCCGATACTGTAGATTTCAAAAATGTTTAGCGGATGGAATGAAACCCGAGGGTATTTATGTTTTTGATAATTTCTAATGGATTTTTCGGAGATTATTTTTTCTTCTTCTTTCTTCTAACAGCTCTCACCATTACTGGTTAAGCCAGCTTCGCTGAATACGGCGGTAAAACATTTCCAAGTTGCATAATTTGATGCCATCTTTAATACTAGATATTGCGTCCAATGTCTAATTCCACTGTCCAATTCCATATATCGCTGGTCCTCTTATAAGTTCGAACCCTTCCTGGCTATATCAGTCCAGATCCACCTCGTTTTTTATGTCGTCCATGAAAGGGTTTAGCAAGTAAATATTGGTAAGCGACGAAGATCCAATTTCTTACTAGCTAAAAAATTATTTATTTGCATTTCATTGTAACTGTCAACAAAAAAGACTGTACCATCAGCGTATTCATGTTGCGTGATACTCTGGACCAATTTGCACAACTCTTGAATGCCGACAAGTGACGTCCATTATTCTATCTATTGCATAGCTATGTATTGTAGAGGAAAGGCAATATTTGAGCAAATTTTAAACGATTACAGCCTTGACGGGCACTAGTTCTTATTCGAAGAAGTCTATTAGCTCCCCTGCGCCGATGTATACTGATAAGATGCCTTTACGAATCTTCTCTGGAACATCATCGTGTTCCATTTCCATCACCCTCCAAAGTACCCTATCAATCGAAGGCAGCAAAATCGATGAAACACGCATCGGTGGGTTATAAATATTTGAAGCGATATTCAAACACTCTTCTTAATATGTGATTAGCACAGCCGTGTACCGGTCTAAATTCATCTTGGTTGTATCCTGCTGTTTGGTACTGCCGAAAGTCTACTGAGTAAATGAGAAGTAAAAATTTTCGCTGAGATGCCTAGGAAGCTGATTCCGCGGTAATTGTCACAGTCTTGTCACCTTTCTTAGAGATTGCTTTGCTCCAATTTTCTGGTATTATTTCTTTTTGCCATGCCAGAGTTGAAGAGTTCGGCCTAAAGACCATCTTTTAATTTTGTTGGTCTTAAACTTATGGATTATAGAGATTATTTCCTCTTCTATTGGCGGTTCGTAGTTGCAAACATATGGTTTGGTGAGCAAATCAATTATGACCGAGACAATAGATGGATCTACTTAAGTCTGGCCTCAAAGAAAATTCCTTTCATCTTATCGACGATCGACGATCCTTAATAACCTTAACAAACACGCCATTACTGTACCGTATCATTTCATTGGCTGTGTAAAAAAAAATTATAATAGATGTGATAGCAGCGGAATGATGCTCGTTTACCATGCAGTAATATTTTAGAAAACACTGATCCAGCTATTTTATCAGGGCAGTTCACCACACTATCACACTATCAATAAAAATTTATTCTTTACCTCAAACTTGGGTAATTAAACTATTAATAATATACCGATGACAAAAAAAAACAATAATATTCGATATGAAATAAAACCAAGGACTAAAAAGACAAATATTTCAAAAAGGAAATGAGAAATGGATAAATAAAATAAAAGGTTCTAAACAATAAAACAAAAGGTTTTAACAACAAAAGAAATATTCAAATATTGTGACCCAACCGCTTCGGTCCCTTCGGTCCCTTGATGGCTCCACAGTGAAAAAGAAAAAATAATTTCCTTAAGAAGCATAAACAACTTGAACATAAATAAATCTATAAGAAGGAATTGACTTTAATGGTTTATTAAATGGACCTTAATGACAAATGGAATCAACAATTAATTAAGTTAATGAAAATTTCCTTTCAGTTCCTTTTGGCGAATCGGAGTCACTAGTTTAAAATAATAAATTTAGAAAAAACATCACATTTTGCAAAATATCATTCAAATTATAGTTGTTTTATGAAGGAGGCAGAATAGTTTTTTATTATCGCCTAATCGAGCCGTTTCCATTTTCGAGGCCATGTTACTCCAATAGTGATTTCTATCCAGCCGTGCTGCTGTCGCTGTAATTCTTCGAAGCATTTGAAGGTAGTCAGAATTCCCTGACATATCTACATTAGCAGCATTTTCAGATAGTTGGACAGCACTTCCTACTAGTATATCTAAGGTGGCTGACTTTAGGAGATTCCTGATATTCCTTTATTTGGGACAAGTATTCATCTGCTGTTCCAGAAAAATCATTTATACCAGTTAATAATTCTTGAAATGCATTCAATGTCCTCGAATCTTTTAGTTTGAGATAATTGAAAAATCCTGGGAAACGTTGTTTCTTGCAAACTGTCAGTTTTATGTGAATCCAGGCCCAAATCATAACATGGTCAGATCCATTGAAGACTGCGATAGGAACGACTATCTAGTGGAAATCCTCCGACGGCGACTGACTAAGATATAAGGTAAGATCAATCTGGTTGAAGTATTGGTTATGCGAGGAATTCCACGTGGCTTGATGTTTTCTATGTTTTCTAAAAAGCATGCATTATTAACAAAAAGTTCACCGGCAAAGCGAAGGCATTCATTGGCGCTCCGGTCTCCTATGCCATATTTGCCAATTGTCGAGTTCATTTTAGCGGCATCATGACCAACGCTTCCACTTCAGTCTTCAACTATGACCATGTCGTTTTGGTAGAGACTTGGTTAACGATTGAAATTCGGCAATTTCTCTTTCGGCGTAGAACTATTACAATCATCTGCCGACAAAGTCAGAACATAGACACGAATGACTGAGATATTGCAGAACTTATCTTCAAAGTGGTCAGAGGTCACACGCTCAATCGTATACTGATTTCCGCTTACCGATTTGCGCTCAATCGAAGCGGAATGGGCATTTTCAAATAATATATATGACAGTCGCTACACTATTTTGCCCGAGATAACCGAGATACCATAATAGCAGATTTACCGCAGTCGAAGACAAAGATAAGAAGTTTGTTAGACAAAAAAATTAAATTAAGGAAAAAAGCAAAGGAAAAGAACTTATCGTATCTGGAGGAGTAGAGGTTCCCTGTTTAAATTTTTAATAAATTACATCGGTATTTAATAAAATAAAAATCGATATTACATATTTGGTGATAAATAGACGTGCAACCGACAACTTTCTAACCTCCTTCTCCTTTAATTTATTCAGATTTTATTTATCATTACCGTTTATTCAAAAGAGTAGAATATGGGGGTGCTAATGGTTCACACCAAGTGACTCACCACCAAAAATTTCTTGCCGTATTGATTTCCAGTTAGCCTAACTAGAAATGGTGAGATATGGTGAGAAATGGTGAGAACTAACCGTTTATATTTCATTAAATATCAAATTGATTAGCAGTATGAATAACGAAGCATTAATTCAAAGTTTCTGATTACCTTAACTTTAGCAATCCAAAATGAAAGAGATCGAATTGGAAGTACGAAACGAAGTCGTAAACGTAGTATGCCAATTCATTTACAGTCTGCCCAAGGTAGCACTGAGGGAATGAGTGATTCAGGTAATCGACTGTGGTTTCGCTTTGATCAAATACATATCATGTAAACATGAATAGATGCACTAAGTGCGCTTGCAGGGAAAGCCGTTTATCTGTTTATCATCTGATTTTGTTGGAAATTTTGAAAAATCAGTTTTAAAAAATAGGATAGGACTCAATGGGTTATTATTCCCAGAGAGAACCTGTCTTTCAAGAATCCAGGTGATGGTAGCGATTCACCTCACCAAGTATCTCCTTGGCAAAATTCCTCTGGTCCGGCAAGCCAACTGACGGAGAACTGAGGGAGAACTCTTAAACGAAATGGTTAGAACTCTAGAAAAAATAATTTAGAAGATGAACAAAATTTTAATTTTTAGAGGACCAAGCATCGCCACAAAGAATAGATCGACGCTGCGAAGATGAGGCAACGCTTGCTGCTTCACGCCGTTTAATCGAAATGATCGTCGACATTGAATGCAGATTGCAAGGCAGTCAAAATATCAGTGGTTTATTTAGCGGAGATGAACAAGAAACAAAATCGAGACAAAGAAGTGTTGCAGTTATGATTGCCTGGGCGAATTTGCTTCATCCTTTACCTATTTTACCGTTCACCGATAAGGTTTTTTATTAATTAAGTCTTTGGTCGAATGCTATGATTAAGTTAAGCACCACTGGTTCGATTCCTGTTCCTTGATGGAAGTAAATCTATTATTTAAGCGAAACGTGAGTGGCGGGGAACCTTATTCTATTTTTATCTCCAAGTAACTCTCCGACCGAAGCAGTTCATCAGTTATCAATGAAGCAAGAAAGCGCTGACTGCTATTTGAAGACGAAAAGTTTTTTTGTCTTTGAAAAAGGAAGGATAAGTTCCGTTTCCGTTCTTTAAAAAAATATTAATTTTCACAAAAGAGTTCAAGAAATTATAGGTTTTGCTGCTGAAACATTGCTCAGCACCATTCGCCCTCATGCATACAGTTCAGCGATCATTATGTTCTCCTCACATTGTACTTCCGAATGACACCTATTTGTCATTAACGTCATTACATAGCTGTGACCTTGTTTCAGCAGTCAGTCGCCTATTAGATGAATTACTTACACCACTGCGACGGATGAATGTGGAAAAAGCGGAATTGTCTGCATTAAAAGCACTTATCTTATTAAATCCAGATATCACTGGAATTTCTGCACCATCGCGCGACAAACTTCGAGAAGCTCGGGATGGTGTTCTTAGAGCACTCTTTATCTATCTTTGCCATATAAAATCGGCCGCAGATGCATCAGTTCGTTTAAGCAATTTACTGTTAACTATGCCAGCCTTATTTTCGGTATCTGTATCACTTATCGAAAATACTCAGTTAGGTGTACTATTTGGATTAATTGATGAAATTCCTTTGAATAATAATTCGAATAACAACAAAGATATGAAGGAGAACTTGAATTTATACGATGAAACTTTACTATTAACAAAAACCCCTCTGTTAACTGGATTGGTATCACCAGCAACTATTCCAATGCAACCAGATTCAACATCAAGCATTTCACTCGCCAATCCAGCTTCTACTCTTGCATTACCTGTAAGATACCATTTTTTATTTTAAAATATATTTAATGTTTAGAAAATTTAATAAGAGGCCGGCTATCCGAATGCTTGATAGTACTGCAGTTCGGCTTCTGCCTCCAATCCTTTATTTAAAAAACGAGTGGTGGTTCGCCAAATAATTTCCGGAATTTTTTACCCTATTAGCAGCCAGCCGAATGAGCCTAACCAGAAACGCTTCATGCTAACCACTCGTTTATTTTCTTACTCAGTAAATCAATTTAAAAAATAAATTATATAAAATAGATTTTTGATCGATGGAAAATGCTCCTAAGTTTAGAAATCATTCAACAATTTCGCACGAACTTAGTGTATTTCTGGATCGGAAATTTTTATTTATTGCTGAGAGCTTTTAGATTTCATTAATATTGAAAGGATGGTTGAATTTGTTTAGAATTTTCAGTGAGACAATTTTTTTTAGATGCTTAGTTCATCAACGCTGCCATTATCGATGAAAATGTTTATGGCTTGAATTGCACTTACAAATAAATGACAAAATAATAAAAATAACGATACGGTGGTTGAAAGGAACATATCCTTACTTAAATGTTCTCAATTCGTGGATCTTATCTCATCTAATGTGCCACTCTTATGTGTAATTTTTCTAAGTATTATTTCTTTTTTAGATAATTGAAGTCGCTTTTTATTTATACACAAAATTTTTCATGGATTAGCCATTTCATAACCGAATTTGGTTATTTTTAGTCTTTCCTCCATATTTGAATTGATTTTCACATAAACATGTGAATCGACGAATTCTTATATTTTTTTCTTTTTTGCTGTTTGAAGATTGTTAATAATTATATTTTTAGGTGAATGAATCTGTTTTTTTTTCTCTTTTAATTCTTTCTATTCCCTTTATAAAGGAACATTGATTGTTTTGTGAAAATTTGTATTAAAACTGCAGATTTTTTTGACATTTAAAGATTGACCACTGATTTTTTTGTGCATATATTGTATATAATAAATGTATTGAATATTAAATTTAAAGTCACAATAATAGACAAACAAATGACGTAGTAATAAACTCAAGAAAAATAAAAAATGGATCATTTTCCATAAAAAGAAATAGAATTTAAAAGACAATATAAAGATAATACAAAAAAGTATGGTATTAAAAAGGCAGAAAAAGAGTAAGTAAAACAATAAGCAAAAAAGGAATACAAAAAACGAAAAAAAGACAAGTAAAAAAATATGTTGATATCACCATATGCATCAAATTATTCAAATCAAAATGTAGGAAAATGTGCAATGTATTAGTGTATGAAACTATAGCCTAAAGCGAATGTGTAAACCATTGCCTCAACATAGAGGTTATTTGATACAGATTGGACATAAGACCAAATTTTGTCACATTCAACGAGAACGACCTGTAAAAATAAAGAGTTGTAAATAAATTTATATCCATATCACTTTCCGCAAAAGACCAGAAAAGAAAAAAAACTATAAATTAATGAAAATCATTGAATGGTTAAAGTTATTCTCCAGTTATAAAATCTCCAATAAAACCATAAAATTTCCGCTGGAATTTACGTACCAATTTTTAGAAAGATAGTCTCCATTTTAAAATGATCTTCTGAAAAAACTGAAATAATTTAGCTAATTTCTAAAGCTAGTCTAACTAGAAATGATGGGGCTAACCAATTAACTCACTGAAAGCCACGACCATTTCTAATTTGGTTATCTTCTGAATATTAACATGAATGCGAGCTTTTCGCCAGAGAAAAAATTGAAATGACTTAAATTAATTCAATTGATAGCCTCTCCTTTTTCTTCCTAAATAGTCTAATATTTTATTATATTTAATTGGAATATAAACCTCATTCGTATAAAAATGTGAAAATATGTCTAGAGATTTTTCTAATAAAAATCAGATGAAATAAACAAAAAATGAATGAAAAATTAAACATAACAGGCTTTACCTCAACGTGTTCGGCTTCATCTAATTTCTGCACAGGATTTTTATTTTCCTCAGCATCTCCATCGATTTCAACTCGCAAAAAATTAACAGAATCATCGGTTAGACCAGGATCAAGGCCTTGTTTCCCCTCAGAGAGAGATAATACCTGAAAAATTACTTGTGAAAAGCTGTAATAAATGCAACCAGCATTCTCATCTGAAAAAAAAAAAAGCAGAAATGAATGATGATACTGCTTAATTAACGGTGGATTGATTGTGAATGTTTTGCTAACTTTTGTTGCAGTATATCCTGTTTCTTCTTTTAATTCTCGCAGACCAGCAGTTTCCACTGTTTCGTTTTCATCAACCAATCCGAAAAAACTATTTAAATCAAAATATGCGAATGAATATAAATATGTATAAACAATATTCTATAATTCACATGCTATAATATAATAAAAAATAACTATAATTAAAAAATCCTGAACAAAAATTGAAGAGAATTAAGAGAATTAATTGAAGAGAACAAAAAGAGAATCCTTTAAAGAATTACGGCAAATAAATACAAAATACGCAATATCTGGTGATGTGGACTGTTTACTCCAAATAAATCTCTGATAAAACCATCTTATTCTAATGGCCAAATCAACAAACCAAAAAGTATCACTCACTTCAGGTTAACACAATAATCCAACAAAAATCAGTAAACAACCAAATCAACAATAACGGGCCGACGAATCCAACAACAAACAAGTGAAGAGAGTCGCCAAAAAGGGCCAAAGATATTAGCTATAAATAATAACCTATGACGACTCAAGGAATGGATAAAGAGTAGTTTGCAGGAAAATAACAAACAGATAAGGAAGGAAGGCTGACCTCAAAAGTAGTAGTAGTCGTTCGTCATTCAGCCAAATAAATAAAAATTAAAAAAAAAGAATGAGAAGAAACCGGCTGGAAATTCAAGGCAAAATCCACCAATAGGTATGCGATATTGTTTTATAAGCACAAAATATTGCTTTCCTCCCTTCTTAAGTATTGCGATAATATCCACTCCATCAGCTTTTGAATTTCGTGCTTTTTTCGAACGATAACACGATTCCCAAACCAGAAATTGAATAATATTAAATAAAATAAATAAAAAAAATAATTATGAAAATATCTGCAAACAGCTAAAGAATATACCATTTCTTGTGAACTTCCAGATTTTTTAAAACGTGTTTCTGCAATTCTTGTCCATTTTCCATTGAAAACAATCTTTGGAGTGCCAATAATCGTTATAGGCAATTTCGATTCCATAATTCGCTTTTCTTAAAAATCCGAAAAGGATATTTAGCAAAATAATGTCCATAAAATATAATAAAATATAAAAAAAATCCATAAAAATATTAACACCATTATCAATAATTAATATTAAAGTCAATTAACATTAAAATACGCCAAAATTTAGTAAAATAAAAATAGTAATAAAGCAATAATAAATAACAAAGAAAGAAAAAGTATAAAAAATTTTTGTTTATAAACAGAAATATACTTCACCGAAAAAAAAAAATATCTTGCAATAGAAAAATCGCACTTATCAGTTATTTATTTTTAACTGGCAAAAAATTTTCTAATTCTAATTTCAAGAATAAAGATTTGAAGTTATCGTTTCGTCTCTCCTATTACTAATAATTTTTTTCTCTTTAACCTTTTACTTTTTAACATAGTAAACTTCAACTTTTTCAAATGCTATGCGAAATAAATAAATAAATAAGCATAAACATCAAAATATAAACATCGAACACAATAAACAATAAACATCAAAAATAATTCTTTTAAATCGAGAACAAAAAAATGATTAAAAAATGATAATAAATAATGTTTTGCAATAAAAAAAATATCCATAAATTATAATCGAAAATTTTTGGAAAAACACTTTTTTAAATGATCGCTTCTGAGTAATATTCCATCATTTTCATTTATCAGCACGAAACAACTGGCATATTAGGCATGTTTCCTCGCGCAAAAATTAGCCTTTTTCATATGCTCGATCTAATTGATGCCATATTTGAAAAGTAATGCACTCTCTTCCACTCTCTTCACCCCATTCATTTCCCATCCATATGTTAAAAAATCTACAGTGAACTTATCGACGAGCCTAGAAATTTCAAGAAGCTGTTGAACAAGCATTTTTTAACAATTTTTTCTTATTGGTTCTTAGAGACTAATAAGGTTAGGAAGAAGTTGAGGAAAAGAAAGGTTATAAAGAGAGATATAAAGATAGCTGGTGGGTAAAGGGATAAAAACTGAGGGATATATATATTTAAATTACCAAAATTACCACCACAGCGATTCAATTACCAATTTTCAATTTTACTATGACAATAAAAGAAAACAAAAGAATAGCGCGGCAATCACTTTGCCAGCAATGAAATTAATTTTATTTTCTCCTTTTCACAGTGTATAGCGAATTCTTCTTCTAGCTCACACCATTACTGTCTCAACTGGCTACAAGGGTAAGATCTCCAAGCGTTCGGTCCGACATCATCTTTAACAGTAATAGAAGCTCCGACATCATCTTTAACAGTGATAGAAGCTATTCCTTTTCCAATCATCTAAGTCCATATATCGCTGGTCCCCCTATACGTTCGAAATCTTTGATCCTGACTACCGGGTGCTTCAAAGATTTGCAACGAAAGCAGCAAGACGGGACAGAAATCTCTATTGGAGTGACATGGCCTCAAGAATGGAGGTGGCGGCTCGATTAGGCAACAGTAGTAGGAAACTATTCTACCTTATTCATAAAGCAACTATGACTCGGGGAACGATCAGTGAAATGGTAAGAGACAGCAATATCATACTAATTAAAAGTATTAAAGATCGCCTCATAAGATGAAAAATTCTTTGAGGCCAAACTTAACCATGAAGCGCCAACTGTTGCCCCTGATATAACTGATACGTTTGCCGAAGCATACGTTCGCAATTGCGAGTCTCCAAAAGAAGAAGAAATAATTTCAGTTATCCGTAAGCTTAAGACCAACAAAACTCCAGGAGAAGATGGTTTTCGGGTGGTCTGAGCTTTTCAAATGCTGTCCATTGTCCTTCATAAGGCACCTTCAACAAATGTACTCTTTAAGTATGGAAAAAAGAAATATTATTGGAGCAAAGCAATTCTGCTCCCAATTCTCAGGAAAGGTGATAGGACATATTGCGACAATTATCGAGAAATCAGCCTATTAGAGTCTCAGCAAAAATTTTTGCTTCCCTAGTCAACAGACTTATGGAAGTAGGATGTGCCCTAATTAAGCTGGTTTCAGACCAGGGCGCGGTTGTGCTGACCAGATATTCACGTTAAGAAGGGTGTTGGAACATCGCTTTAAATATTTGCAACCCACTGTCACGTGTTTCATCGACTTTACAGCTGCCTTTGATTCAATTGATAGAGCTGCGCTTTGGAGGGTAATGGAACATGATGGTGTTCCAGAGAAAATCATTAGACTCATAAAGGCATTTTATGAGGGCACGACGGCGCAGGTCTGTGTATATGGGGAACTGACAGATTCCTTCGAAATAAGAACAGGTGTCCGTCAGGGCTCCTTTCTCCCACAATATTCAACTATGCGATAGACTGGATAATGCTTGTCGGCACTCAAGAGGTGTCCGAATTAGTCCAGAGCATCGTATCACAGACCTTGAATACGCTGATGATGTAGTCCTTTTTGCTGGCAGTTATAACGAAATGCAAGTAATACTAAATAACGTGTCAGAAACTGCAGCAAGAATCGGACTCAGGATCAGTTTAAATAAAATGAAAGTCTTTTCGTCTTATATGCAAGAAGCTGATAAAAAGCCTCTTTTTCATTGCCGGTTGAGGAAGTGCCTGATTTCAAATACCTTGGGTCCACTCTAATACCAAATGGACAGGCAAAAGATATTATAACTCGGATCACGGCAGCTAGAAATGCGTTTTTCCGGTTGACGAAACTTTTATGGAATCGTCGTGAAATCACTATAAAAATGAAAGCGTTCGATCTTATTATATGGTTCTGAGACGTGGCCAATGAGAGTGGAGGATATTAAGAAGTTATCTGCCTTTGACCACTCTTGTCTAAGGTATATTTTACGGGTTCGCCGAGTGGATAAAATCTCACAAGATCGCATCCACCTTCGTTCAAATACCACTTGCATAAATAATGTTTTCGCAGAGCGCCGCCTTCGCTGGTTAGGGCACATTCTTCGTCGTCCACCACAGGAGTTGACGCATATTTCATTATTTGCTAAAATGTGTGACGGTTGGTTGGCGGTTGGTTCAAAAGCGAGGTGGACCAATCAACACCTGGACTGATATGGTGAGAAAAGATTTTGAACTTATAGGTGGACCAGCAATATATGGACTTAGACGATGGAAAAAGGAATGGCTTCCATTACTGTCGACGATGGCATCAGACCGCGCCGCTTGGAAGCGCCTTACTCTTGTAGCCGTTGGAGCCAGTCTAACCAGTAATGGTGAGGGCTATTAGAAGAAGAAGAAGAATACTCGAAAATTGGCAATTCTTCAATCAGTATTCATATATTCATCAATTGACTGAAATAGGCACGGGCATTACTCATTAGCATCTTACTCATTATATATGACTAAAAAATTTTGTCTTATTTAGAGGATGTAGCTGATTTTTGCCTAGCTACCTTGCAATTTTTCATAAAACGACTATATCATAAGTGTATTCAGGATTCATAATAATATATTTTGGATTGACTCTATAAGGTTAAAGGAAGACGAATATAACTCTAATCCTTACACCAGCTCGAAAAGAGAATTACTCACAATAAATTTATGATGACAATGTAAAATGCTTTAAGTCGAAAGATGGCCATCTCGTAACCTTTTAAATACTGGGAATGGAAAAATAATGGGAAAATCAGTGAAAAAAGTTAGTGTGGTTTGCCGAATCAATATTCTTCTCGGTATGAATATCTTGGCACATCCATGGCCCAGCCTCAACCCATTCTTGTTAAAGCGCATCACGTTTTCCATTAAATCAATCAGAAGGGATGCAAAAATATTCCCAAAGACATCCAACGTGCTGATTCCTCGACAATCCGATCTTCTTGTGAATCGGAGAAAGGATTACCTTGCTACAATTTGCGAAAAGTGCTGGACAATTTGAAAAATTCGGCACACCGGCCATATCCTTAATTTTCTTAATAAAATAGATTAATCTATTAATCTATGCTTTGCTGGATGGCGGCAGATCATGATTCACCGAACTCTCTCCATCACGAGAAGCCAGTACTCTAATAGAATGCTAAAAGGTATTCCAATTTTAACATTTCATTATTTCTATTATTTTTGATTCAATATTCTATTAGTTACTGTTAAAAAAACCCATTCTTCGAGTGGGTTTCTCGCAATATTTCAGAAATCCCTTTCAATTCTGTCAAATTATTTTCATACTTGCTCATGGCCATGGCAAAGGCAAAGATTTTGGGACAATATTAAAGGATTAAAACTAAGCCTAAGGAGATATCAAGAATAAAATCGCTTAAAATTTTATCAACAGATCATGATAAAAACGAAGTTTTGCCCGGCATTTAAAGAAAATACAAGAGTTCTGAGGGTTTAACAAATAAGTCTGAGTTTTTAAGAAGGGTTAAAATATGAAGAGATATAAGGCAGATTTTTATTGATTGTAATAAGTTCAAATGCTATGAAAACGAGGTATAAGGATGTTAAGATGTTAGGAAGTAACGGAATAGATCGAGGTTATCAACAAAAAAATCCTAGGAAACATAAAAGAGTCCTCTCTTCCTCTTCCAAGCATTATTTTTTACTAGACTAGATTGCACAGATTAGAAAAGTGAGGATCATAACGGATAGTAATAGAACCACTCATCCTTTCCCTGTCCAAGACTACCGCTGCACCACCAATGCATTCCTTCCCTTTGTGTTCATCTAGGCCTCCATCCAGGTTCCCATCTCCCCTCCACTGCTTAAAAATACCAGATAATCATCCATGTCAAGAAATAAATTAAAGAAACTTTTTTCCTAAAGTGAAATATTTTGGCTGACTGCCAAAACCCTGCGATGCAAAGATAATTGTATCGAAATTTTTGGGAACATGTGGTGCGGGAGGGTGTTATTCTCGTTGTCCTTTGGGCGAACTAGTCTAAGGCAAAAGGTTGGAGGCCTCGTTTCATGTGGCGGCTTTTTATTTTTATCGATATTTCATGAAAGTCGAAAGACGGAGTAAAAAATGATTCGCCTATTTCAACGCGGGAAACTAACTGGGAAAAGAATCCTTTTCTTCTTAAATGTAATATTGGAAAAGAAGGAAAATGCCCACAAACTTCTACACAACCTGCGGGTTTCTCTGTGTGGGTGCGGGACGATTTTTTAATGTTTTTCTATCGCAGTGAGCATCGTGCGTGTTTTTTGAAGCGTATTGGCCTCTCCTCATTCGAGCCGTCCATGCATTAATCCTTTTGGAATTGGAGTTCAGTTTACCACGTTGATTTTGGTGCATAAATCAATATTTTTGTCATTTGTTGTAAAAACCTAATTTCGAAATTCAGCGGTCCGCTATAATGTCACAATAGTCTCCCTTACATAACTTTTTTGGATTTTAGGGTTTATAAATTATAGGATGGATTCGTTCATCATTGGTACCGATAAATGCATAAAATACGTGTATTCACGTATATTTAATCATTTTTCACAGGTAAAGCACTCAGTCGCTCAAGTTCTCGATTGACCATCGGTGCAGCTTGGACTAACTATAGGAAAATTTATGGCTCAATAATCATGTAAATATCTGCACTAGGGTCTCAAATACCATGAGAACTTAGGGGTCCGTGGACATTTGAAATGAAGCCAAGACATCTTCAACAAATGGCTATTAAATGGGCTTATGTAAAGGTGGTACATTGTCCCACCTGCTTTTCTGCATAGGTCTAAACCTCAGTTAGATAATCATGAGAAATGGATATGGATTCACGATCAAAAGTGGAACTACCATCAGCCATCTCCTTTGAGTGTCATCAAATTATATGCTAAAAGCAAACCAGGTATTGACTTGTTCACTCATCGCATATAGCAGATATACTGTCTATTATAAATCTCGATATCCCACAGTCACATGGAAATCACGATGAGAGGACGATAAGATAAGGAGAAAAGAAAGGTTTTACTACCAAAGAAAAAATAAAACAGATCTGGAGGAGTCAGATCAATGAGGAAAACATAATTCACACCTTAAACATTTTTACCTAACCAGAAAAGTCGCTGACAGATTTCAAGAACAATATCAGAGATCTTTATCCAGAGGAAAACATTGATAACAGCAGTGAAACTAAAATATCGCGCAGAACTCATAGCATTTTGATAGAGGAGTGGAGGTTAGAGATGATCCATATCATCCATAGGGGGCGAAAAAGGTATTTTTTCTACGTTGCATATTGTATGCTTTTGTTTGATCGATGATATTCTATTCGATTGTATGAAATTAATGACAAACGTTAATAGTTTTTTAGGCGTTTCTCTGGGTTGCAGTTAAAAATTTGATGGAATGATGAATAATATTGAAGCTGTGGCAGAAAAAAAACTTAGCAAAAAGTGAGTAAATTATTTGATATTTTACATTTAAAAAAAGTGGTATTTACGAAAAATGTTTGCGAGTTTTTTGCAACGATTAGTTGCGATTCGCCTTGCCTCTGTTACAGAAATGATATCGCCTTCGCTAGTTACAAAATTTGATCGACGATCTTTTTCTCGGTAAGTAATCATTAAGTTACTTTAGTGCAATCAAAAAGTTTTAAGAATTAATAGGAATTTAAATTTAAATTTAACAGCATTTTTTGATTTTTCTGCCGGCAGTTTAGAATAAATAATTCATTTTTAAAGATAAAAAGTTTCATATAGGTAGGAAAAGGTGTGTAGATGAATTTTTTTGTTTGTCATAAGTAAAAGGAAAGTTTAAAAATTCCTTCTGCTGTCTGCTATTCCTCCGTTGTGTGGAGTGCTTTTGGTGAATAAAAATCCACTGTTCAAGTTTTGAACTTCGAGTTCTATTTTTTGCTAAAAAAGATTTAGTTAATTGACAAATCAACAATTGAGCGAAGTGTCTTTATTTTTTGGTTCGCGTAGATTGAGAAAATATCATATTCGAATGCTTTCTTTAAGTTTTTTGGAAATATAAGTATGAAATTTTTTATTATATGATGATTTTTCGATAGCGAGCAAAAAAAATTGCTCAAAGCTCAACAAAAATTGAAAGAAAAGCAAGAAAGGGAAGCTGTTCGAAGTACGACTGCGGATGAGCCTGAAAAACAGAAAAATAATGATAAAACTGATCCATCTGATCCGCAGGTTCGCTTTATATAATTCGTAAATCAGTATCTGTACTTCAATATCTCAACTAATATTTCTTCAAATATTTGTAATATTTGAATTTATAATAACTTCAATAAAAGTTAGTAAGATCGGTGCAAATTTATTTTGTTTTGAATTTCGAATTGGAAATTTTTTGTAATCTTAGGAATATTTCAACATGCGACTTTCCATGATCAATAAAAGACGAAAAAATGGTGAAAATCCATTTCCGCACAAGTTTCAAGTGACAGTATCGCTAGCAGATTTCGTTAAAAAATACGATCATATAGAAAATGGCACAGTACTTGTAGATACTATTGTTAATATTGCAGGTATTTTTGTTCTTATTTGTTTTAGCTTGTTTTTTTTTAAAAGGGCGAATAGATTTCAGTTTCTTTTCATTCTTTAGGTCGCATATTTTCGAAGCGAGAGTCAGGTGGAAAACTAATTTTTTATGATCTTCACGGCGAAGGCTTGCGATTACAAATTTTGGCTAATGCTAGGTCTATTTTTTTATTCTTTCTTAATCGATATTTTCTAATGTTTTGGTTATAGATATCACAATGGACAAGAATCATTTAGTGATGTTCATGACCGAATAAGACGTGGAGATATTGTTGGTGTTCGTGGACATCCAGCTCGATCAAAAAATGGTGAACTTAGTATTACTCCGGTTGAGGTAATTTGTGAATTTTTGTTAAATAAAGAAAATATTATGATGAGAGATATTTTTTCAGGTCGTTCAATTAACACCTTGCATGCATATGCTTCCTCACACTCATTATGGCTTAAAAAATCAAGAAACGAGGTAAATTTTTTTCCTGTACAATTTATAGAAAGAAAAGAGAAGTTTCTTTTAAAATCTTTATGTCAAATAATTAAGATAATTAAGATAATTTAGATATCGCATGCGATATTTGGACCTAATAATGAATCCTCCTATCAAAGAAAAGTTCGTCATTCGTGCAAAAATAATTACTTTCTTGCGGCAATATTTAGATAACCTTGGATTCTTGGAAGTATGTGAAATAAATCAAAATTTGCCTTTAGCTGTAGATTGTAAAGATTAAATTTCCAATGCAGGTTGAGACTCCTCTTATGAATCAGATCGCTGGTGGCGCAAATGCTAAACCTTTCATTACTTATCACAATGAGCTTGATATGAAGCTTTTTTTACGAGTAGCTCCAGAACTTTACCATAAGGTTGGTTACTTTCTTCATTTAGATATATTTCCAGGAAAATTTCCTTTGCATTTTTCAGGTTATTGCCTCCGGACATTTGTTGTTGGTTGTTTTAGAAAATTCAATATTTTTTGATTTTAGATGCTAGTCGTGGGTGGTATCGATCGAGTCTACGAAATTGGTCGCTCGTTTAGAAATGAAGGAATCGACTTGACTCACAATCCAGAATTTACGACTGTTGAATTTTACATTGCTTATGCGGATTACGAAGATTTGATGAAATTACTGGAAGACATGTTCTCAAGTATATTCATTTATTTGCTGGGAGTTTATTTGCAAGTGTGCTTTATAAAAAAAAGTAATAGAGTTTTGAAAAATTGAGTGTGGACTTTTATTAAAGAAAATCATTCGAACGAAAAAAATGCTAAAAAAAAGGTAAATTCATTTTTAGAAATGGTACATGCAGTTTATGGTACCTATAAAATCCCATATAACCCAAACGGTCTTGGTGAAGAACCGGTTTACGAGGTACTATACTGGACTCAATTTTTCAATTTTTTTCAATTTCTGCGATCATGGGAAGAATTTTTCAGGTCGATTTTACGCCTCCCTTCAAAAGAGTTTACATGTATGATGATCTGCAAAAAATTCTGGGAGTTCAGTTTCCTTTGCCTGATGACTTAGAAACTGCAGGTTTGTTTTCTATATTTGTAGTGATAATTTATTTCAAGCCTAGCTTCTCGTTTTTTTCTTTTTTGTCGTTGATGATAAATTTTAGAGGCAAACGCTTTCTTCAGTAATCTCGCTATTGAAAAAGACGTTGCATGTCCTGAACCAAGGACGACTGCAAGGCTAATCGATAAAGTTTCTTATTTTATTAATGAAATGAGTAATGCAAAAATGATATAAGTTCATTAGCTTGACAGTTCCACAGTAATTTAATAGTTAATAATCATTATCGGCCAGTTCATCAAGAATTTTTTCTTTCTTTATATCCACCAGGAGGCTATTTAATTTCCTAAATTGTTCTATTTTGATTTGATTTCTATCAAATTATTTTTATTTGGTTGGCGAATTTTTGGAAGGCAATTTTATTTCACCGACATTCTTAATTGGACATCCTCAAGTGATGTCCCCGTTAGCAAAGTGGCATCGGTCGATTCCTGGATTAACTGAACGTTTCGAATTATTTGGTGTCACTAAAGAATTAGCGAATGGTTATACCGAATTAAATGATCCAATTACTCAGCGATCAAGATTTGAACAACAAGCTAAGGTTAATTTTAGCAATTTAGAGGCCGTTAATCATCGAGTATTTCATATCTAATCGTGTAGAAATAGAAGTAAAGGTGTTTTATACTTATGAAAAGCCCACTTCTCCTTTTCTATTTATTTATATTTGTTCTTAAATTACTTTTTTTTCATTTGTTCTTAAACTACTTTACAAAGTAATATTTTCTTTATAAATAATAAATGTTTATAAATGGAGGATAAGAAGATAGATAAAAGGAATTAATAAATTAATTAATAAAAAAAAGAATGAATTGATTGAATTGAATTGATTTATATTACAAACATGTTTATGTGGTTTATACAGGATAAACAAGCTGGAGACGATGAAGCTCAGCCTATTGATGAAAACTTTTGTACTGCTCTTGAATATGGATTGCCTCCAACAGCTGGTTGTGGTATTGGTATTGATCGTTTGACTATGCTGCTTACTAATAGCACTAATATTAAGGTAATTTGTGAAACATCATAATGACTGAAGTAAGAAATTATATAAAAATAAGAAATTATCATACGGCTTTTATCTTCGAGTTGATTTTTATTTGAAAATGAATAAGTATTTATGAATATCTATTTATATGAAATTGCAGGAAGTGATGTTTTTCCCAGCAATGCGACCTGATGAACAGAAAAGTGTCCACCAGGGATTTGTTGACATGGAAAAAACAGATAAGAAATCATAACAAATCTGTTCATTTAGTATTGTTGATTGATCTAAATAAAATGAATATACTGTTTTTACGTTTGGTAATCTGATAAATGTAGAAATTTTCTATACATTTTTATTATTGGTTAATCGGTGGCTGTAAACGCCAATTACTAATGAATAAAACAAAATATTTGTCATAAAATACCTATTTCGAAATTTATAAGACGATCAGAAGTTAACCCTAGTTGTGTTAAAAAGGTTTGATGCTTAAAGGATGCCAGATGTTAACCATTCATTTCGATATTTTATATTTCAAAGAAAATAAGTTGGTGAAAATGGTCCTTCTGGTAAGACAAATGGTTAAGTAGAAACCAGTTATTTGAAAGGATCAGTCGACGGTAATTGTTGTAGGAACAATTCGAATTTCGAGTTAACCAGATGTTTGCGTCTCAGCGAATGAAAGTTGTGTTTGTACTTGGTTGGTTAAATCAAATTTTGTTAGTTTATTCTCATTTATTTCGTTTTCTTTTTTCGGAAATTTTTCTATCAAATGAATTTGCAAAATTGAATCAAATCAGAAAAAAGTTCCTAAGGCTGATAATCTTATATATCAACCAATTTTAACTGAGAATTTCATTCCAAACTTTTTAAACTAAGAGGCAAATAAAGGTTTTATTGTTATGGCTGATTATCGTGTTATTTTGTCTAAGTTTAAGCATCGTGAGTTAATTTTCACAACTTGGTGAGAATACAGTTTGTTATTAAAAGTGAAGTCCATGTGATGGTGAAATATCTTTATATTTTTTTTCAAGTGATTCTGTGGCGAAGCGTCTCATTCTAGTAGCCATCTAAATAAATAATGAAGACAAGTATCGTTAAAAGAAAATATATACACATACAAAGTATATATGCCGATACTAAGGTTGTATTCCCCGCAGGAGTAAACCTGTCCAAAAATCCGGGTGATGCTGGCGACTCATCTGTATTTCTATCGCCAAGGGTCTCCCTGGAATATTTGTCCAGTGCCACAAGCCAGCGGAACCAGTTATGGTGAGAACTCTTAAAGTATATGTATAAGCTACCAATAGAAATCGTATATTATTATTGCCTTTGCCATTATCAATGAAATTGAAATTGTCATGGTTCGATTGTTAGTTTAAATCTTCTGTGGAAATGTTCTTACAAAATTTTTTAAGAAAATTGAATATATTTAATGGGAAATAAAGGATTTTGAAAGAAATTTATAATAAATTAACTTATAAATAAGTGGTTGGTGGTCACCTTTTCGAGTTAGATTCGTTTTATTCACTATAAGAAATGGCATAAAAGTACAAGTGGGTCCCTAGCACCACTCGGATTTTTGAGACTTGATTCTTCTCTGTGTTCTCTGTAATGCTTAATAATCTGAGCCATCTGCTAATCCTGAATTCCATTTGAGATTGTAAAATATCTTAAATAGCCGATAATTTCTATTTTTTGTTAATTGAAGGGCTGAAAAACAGTAATAAAGTAATAATAAGTGGTGTATCGATCTAAATTAGAGTGGAGCAAACCTTATCAGTAAACCTTAATTTTTCTTAAGGGTGCCATTTACTGCTTGAACTCGCTTCTCTGCCTTGTCGTATTCTTGAACTTGCAAGAATTGCTGAGGCAACTTTTGTACGTTCGCTTAAATCATGTTTTACTAGAGATTTTATCCATATTTGTTCGTTTATTATTCAGGTCAAAATAATTTGACAAAATCCCTTTTGGTTTAAATTAAAATGGAATGCAATAAATCTTCTTCGTATGCGCTGAAAATTCTGTAATAAGTCCATTTTCTTATTCAATTTTATACAAAATAAATAATTATGTTATTTTAAAATTTGTTTTTGATATTCAGTTTTTTTCTCCTGCTAACAGTATTCATTATTTTTGGTTTGACTGTGTTAGCTGCCAGGTCGAAGACCTTACACTAGAAAATCATGTAAGAATAGAAATGCGATAGATCTACAGAATAACGCAGATTTCACCTTTAATGACATTTATTCTCGTCCATACGGATGAATCATGCATGATGTTTGGCAGTAGAATTAATATGCTTGCTTATTAATCTTCAGATGTTTCGTAATGTTTAAAAATAAAGAAATTTTTTTGAAAAGTTGTCATAAAAGAAAATGGCTTTTACCTTATTCTTCCTTAAGAATTGTTTTTCTTTAGATTTAGATATATTATCATCAAATTTCTCCTCATTTTTCCAGCTCATGTTTGATTTTTTATTCATATTAAACATTAAGCTTAATCTGGCTGTTTTATGATGTGGCATTTTTGCCAAAGGTTACCAGTATGACTACTATTTTTCAATGTCTCACCACTGGCGGCGTCGTCTAAAATTGTCTTCTTTTTTTCTTAGAGTCCTCACCATTAGTGATTAAACTCGCTTTACTGACTCGTTGCACTGGAATGCCAGGGAGTTTCTTGACGATGGACAGGTGGGTGGCTAACATCACCCGGATTTTTGGACAGGTTTTCTCCTGCGGAGAATGAACCTCAACATCGGAGTTCCGAACCGCGCAACGACCCTATTGAGCCATTCTATCCCCAAAAATACTTAAATTACTAATAAATTAACGCTTTTTTAGTTCTAATAGTATTATTTTTGGTTTCTCTTCCGCTAACTCTACTGGCTACTGGATTCATTACCGAAAGAAGTCACTTGAATATAGGTGCCGTGGATTTCACTTATAATGACAGGTTTAGAAGCAGGATTCAAATCAGTGTGGGCTTGGAGCTGAGCAAAACAACAAACTACTTCATGCTGATTCCTCTCTCTTTTTTAATAATGGAAAAGAAAGTTTGCTTTGAGTTATAAAAATTCTGAATTGATTTATCGAAAAGAAATATTTTAGCTAGCGAAAGATAAAAATAATAAAAGTGCGAAAACTGATTTTGGTTTGTTTTGTACAAATTTTCTGTATTACTGCTTTGATCGACGCATTCATTCTTCCTTGTTTTCATTAATATTCCTAACTTATTTTTCGCTTTCTGTTCGTAAAGTTTTTCGTAAACTATACGCTCTATCGATACCAACAAATTTTAAGTATAGGGACCTATGAGCATGTATCCCATGAATATCGCGTAAACGGCAACCTGGCCGGGCGGTTAATTACTCAAATGATCAGGTCGGTGGCCTCTGGTTCAGAAGTAAACCTGTCGTCAAGAACCTTGCGACCCAGCTTCTCTTTAACTCATTTGCAGAAATTTTTAAATGTTTAAACCAGCGAAGCAGCACTTATAAGGAAATAAGGCCAAAATTCTCCTCTCATTCCTGTAAACTTTGAATTGTAATTAAATATTTTAGCAAATTAACGTAAAATCTGATACTATTTCATATTTATTTTTCGATTTGTTCATTCATAATGTTGGCAAGATTTTAAACAAAAAATCATCCGGCGAACAATTTTTGTTGGCCATTGCTTTCGACTTCGATTTAAATATATATTTAACTCAATTATAACTGAAGAAATGAATCTTTCATTTTACTCTAATCATTCTTTTTGGAGAATGTCCTGTGATCTAAATTTTTTTTTCGCAATATTCCACTAAGTATTTATTTAGAAACAGTAACCAAGCAGGGCAAGAAGAGGCATGCGCTGGTATATATCAGTGATATTAAGGCTTGAGACAGAGGATCGGTTCCTGCAGTAGGTGCTTAACATTCATAGCATTCCTAGTGAATATTAAATTTTCGATAAAATTTCGGAGTACAAGAATTTCACCTTTTATTTGTTGGAAATATATTACGATGATGTTGAACCGAATCACGAAATCGTGTTGTTAAATACGTCTGTCGACATAATGCGATAAGGTGGTTCAATAATATTCTTCATTTTTGAGAAAGTTTAATGGTTAATTATTGATAAGTTTTGTTGCCAAAGGTTATGAAAATCTAAACTGGAAAGTCATTGAAAAATGTAAAGGAAAAATAGCGGCTACTAGATTGTCACCTAAAGTCCTTCCTACTATAGGAACAAGCCTCTGTCCTGAAAATTTAAAGAATCCTGGACTCATTTAATTCTACCTTCTGGTAAAATTTTCTCCTATTAACAGACAATGGCGCGAACTTAACCAAGAATGATGAGTGTTAATCATTTTACTTGCTTTATTTGTATTTACACTAAATTTAAAACAGTAGATTGAGCGTATGGTTCGAGATTTCGCTTAGAAAAATTTAATGGCAGTTATTCGAAAAAAACTGGTGTTCCTCAATGCTGCATTCTTTCCTCAACAGTATTCGACTATTCAAATAGGCTGGATAACACCGCTTGTCGGCACTCAAAAGTTGTACAAATCGGTCGGGAGCGTATCATAATTTTAAATATGCTGATGATGTAGTCTTTTTTGCTGACAGTTATGACGAAATGCAAATAATGCAAATTGGACTCAGGATCAATTTAAATAAAGTGGAAATCTTTTCGTCAACATGTGCAAGCTGATAAAATGCCCTCTTTTTATAAATTCATTGCCGGTTGAGGAAATGCACGATTTTAAATACCTTGGGTCCACTCTATTACCGAATAGTCAGGCAAAACACGATATTAATCAGGATGACGGCAGCTAGAAATGCGTTCTTCAGGTTGACGAAATCTTTATGGAGCCGTCGTGAAATTACCATTAAAACAAAAATCCGCATCTATATAGCCGCTATATCTTGCTATATGGCTGCGAGACATAGCCAATGAGAGTGGAGAACATTAAGATATCTGCCTTTAACCACTGTACATTTAAGGTATATTTGTCTAAGGTACATTTTACTAGTCCGTCGAGCGGATAAAATCTCACATGATCGCATCCACCTTCATTCAAATACCACTTGCATTAATAGTATTATCACAGCGTCGCCTTCGCTAGTTAGGGCACTTCATTTCTTACTACAAGAGTTGATACATATTTCGTTACTTACTATACTCTGTGGAAGGTGGCGTCAAAAGCGAGATGGGCCAATCAATATCTGACACGGTCATGAAAGATTTTGAACAAGAGAGTGGACCAGCA